ATTTGACCAGAAGTTGAGGCGTGTTCCAGAACTTGGGTCACCAATTGTAGCGTGGAGTGGAGTCGGAATTGACTATGAACACCGCTACCAAAAAACACGTGCCAAGTAGATCAGAAGGCGAAGGTTGAACGTAACCAAATAAATCCATAAAATCTTCGGGAAGCCAAATATCAGAAGACAGTCAATGGACCAAATCGAGATATATTCGCTGGCGATCTCGTGGCATCGAAAAGATACCGAGATCGTGCCAGGATACAAGCTTGGTTACAGAACGTAACCGAATTCGCGCAAAGTCACAATCAAAGTGTGTGTATATGAATGGAAGCACAATATAGCTGTCATTAGCACAGTCAAACAAAAGCACATTAAAACAAACACTGGTACAGTTGGTTATAATAATAATTGTTTTTATGAAACCAGTCGTGTTCTCGTGATAAATGTGAGTCACTACAGGAGCCCTCCGCTGGAAAAAGTCTACACTTTCGATAAATAGCGGTTTAAATCGTGGGACTGATCGGCTGACGAGCGATTGTAGGACGGAAGAATTGGCGAACAGGAAAGCGATCGTTGATCGTCGAGTTGCCAGCGAAATTCTTGTTCGGAGAACGGTACCAGGAGCGATGTGCTGTATTTGTTGCTTGAGTTGGCATGCTACACCAGAGTGGTTTGTATCCAGAATCTGAAGATTGCGTTCGTAGGGAATGCGGACCAGAAACGCTGCAGACGTAGGACGAAACCACGTTGAGCCAAAAGACCAGAAGCGACCGTAACGACCAAGTTCGAGACCAAGTGTATGCCAGGCATTCGAAACCAAAATATCGACTGAGTACGTTGATAAGAGCGTGGGTGGCCAATCCTGCTTTCGCCAAAAAAAAAAAAAGTCGACGGAACCAAACGGAGAAGGTCGATGGCGTGGGCTCAGGAAACAAAAAGAAAATGAAAAAAAAGAAGAGTGTAGCATGCGTGTAGTATAGGAATAATCCTACACCGTATCGGTTGTTCACTGTGCGACTAGTCGCGGAAGCGTACGGGCAACCGTACTCGGCGACCGGAACGTGAGACGGTAGTCTCGTTCGTATCTCGTGAGCCTGCAATCTCATCCGAGGTCAGAGGCGGCGTGGTCTGCTGATCTGGACGTGAGACTGTCGTCTCGTCCGTAGACGGTGCAGATGACGCGTGCTGTTGACCGGGACGTGAGAATGAGGTCTCAGATGTATCTAGCGTGGGACCTGAAGAAGATTTAAGGATCCCGCTAGTAGGTTTGATAGGTCTAGCATTGAATCTCAGGGTATCAGATAGGGCACTGTCATCGACGTGTGCTGGTTTGAGACGATCAATGCTGACGATCTCGACGCGGCCATGTCGATCAACCTTGAAGGTCTTTTCGTGACGAGCGATCACGCGAAAAGGGCCTTCGTAAGGTTGTTGCAAAGGTTCGCGTACCGAATCTACTCGTATGAAAACATGTGAACAGGTAGATAACTCTCGAGGGAGAGCGACCTGTCGATGTTGTATTCGAGTTGACACCGGAGACAGCGTTCGCATAAATGCAGACAGTCGTTGAACGTAGTCTGGTTTACCGAAATCAGATCTGCTCCGTGGTGTGAAGAATTCTCCGGGCAGACGCAATGTCGTGCCGTATACAAGTTCAGCGGCGGAACATTGGATATCTGCGTTCAAGCTCGTTTTGATGCCTAAGAGAACGAGCGATAAGGTTTCGTGCCAGTTGCCGTTCTCGTGTGCTCGTAGAGCACTTTTAAGTTGGCAATGAAACCGTTCAACTTAACCATTTGATGCTGGGAGGTAGACGTTAATGCGTATGCGAATGCATTCCGTACCAAGCAGCCGGGTCAGCGAGGAGAATAGTTAATAGGGGAAAATTTCGCGAATAAAGCGTGGAATTCATCGTCACGCGAATAATAAGTGACAAGGATTCGGTACACATACATGTGAGTCTATTATATTAATACTATTCTTATCGTTATCCGTCATGTCGCGTATATTATATATTGAAAAATATGAAAATATACGACAGACGTGGATAGATAAATCATAGACTCATCGAATTGGCTTCTTTGGAAGATTTGACCAGAAGTTGAGGCGTGTTCCAGAACTTGGGTCACCAATTGTAGCGTGGAGTGGAGTCGGAATTGACTATGAACACCGCTACCAAAAAACACGTGCCAAGTAGATCAGAAGGCGAAGGTTGAACGTAACCAAATAAATCCATAAAATCTTCGGGAAGCCAAATATCAGAAGAAAGTTAATGGACCAAATCGAGATATATTCGCTGGCGATCTCGTGGCATCGAAAAGATACCGAGATCGTGCCAGGATACAAGCTTGGTTACAGAACGTAACCGAATTCGCGCAAAGTCACAATCAAAGTGTGTGTATATGAATGGAAGCACAATATAGCTGTCATTAGCACAGTCAAACAAAAGCACATTAAAACAAACACTGGTACAGTTGGTTATAATAATAATTGTTTTTATGAAACCAGTCGTGTTCTCGTGATTATTGTGTTTCACTACAAGCTTAGATTTAAAGACAAGAAATCAATAAAGCCAAAATGCCTAATAAATATGTAGTATATATATATATATATATATATATATATATATATGTAATTGTGGAAGTTTCGACGTGATTGTTAAATTGTGTATTACAACATCCCTTTTTGAACATCATTGTTAAGGTCTGTTATTTGAGTTCATTTTTATCCTGGTTGGTTTTCTTCAAATCCATACTGATCGTCCTAAGGGTGGCTATAATCTTTTATCCAGTATTCGTGTTCATTGATCAACCAACATATTCAGAAACATGGAATTTTGTATTGACATCGTCCCTTTCTTCTCGTCTATATGGTCGTTTGTGGTTGGCCTGTATTATCTATTTCATATTGTTAACATTGAGTTCACAAATTATTCCCTTCTGCTGAGTGGGATAATTCCATGAAACCAATCCGCCTTTAGCAATGAAAATCAGGTACCATAACCGGTTGTCCTGGACAGCATCTCCCGGGCTATCACTAACATCTCTTGTTGTACAGTTTCTCCATTTTTGTGTTTCGCTCAGTAGACGTCGTAACATGTGGCTTCAAATCGTTTGGTGGTATTTGAGCTTTTCTTCAAAGCATTGCTTCTGACTAAGAAACCGTACCAGCTTTTGTAGGATTCGGTGTCGCACGTTAAGCAAGCAAAAACGTCCGTAATATTTTTTCGAATCTTCCCTCCTCCCTGAGCTTTTCGTAATGCACTTTTATAAGTGTCGACAAACCGCTCAACCTACCCGCTTAGATGCGAGTGGTGTGGAGGAGTCTTGACATGTTTAATGCCTGTAAATTCGAAAAGAATATAAATTAATAGGATTAATCCCCTTAAGTCTAGAACTCTAACAATGAACAATTAGGAACTAAAACTCGAAGTACACAATATGACATTGTATTGTATTATTAAAATGTTTAAGTGTACATCAAGTGTGTTGGTTATTAACCCCAATGTCGTTCAGAACTCAGAAATGATGAAATTCTACAGATGAAGATTATGAACCATTGCCAGAGACTGTCACTGCCGGAAACGCGAAACAACTAAATATTTGACGTAGTTTATTTAATGTCATGTTAGTTGATGTAGATTCCATACAATGTACTTCTGAACATTTGGTAAACGCGTCCATGTTTGTCATTAATGGGCTCTGCAAGATCCAAGTGCACCCTCGACCATCGATGTGTCGTTATTCCCCAGCAGAGAAGTTTTGTTTAGCGAGGAGCTTCAGCAGATTGAGCACATTTGGAGCGTTTTGATATATAATCTTATTTCGGCATCAATGTTTAACCAGTATAAATAAATTCTGACCAATACGTTCATCGGGACAATACCTGGATATGTAGAGTGAAGTTGTGATAGAACTTTACGACGCGAACATATGGTACGACTAGACGGTCTCCAAAATAAGGAAATTTATCCACAACACACATTGAGTTACGCCGCTGAAAATATCCTCGTCCACTGGCATTTAACTGTAGAAAACAGCCATCTAAGAAATAACGAATAATGATCAGAAGTGGAGGAAAGAGCGCTGATAGGCATAAATACATATTGGACGGGCTTGCCAAAATGTCTAGGTCGATCGGGAGTGTCAATAATTTCAATACAGTGGAAGCTTCAGTGAATTATTTCTGTCTTACAACAGTCTTGGGGCAATCGCAGTTCATGACCTTAAAACCGCAGGTAACTGCTTTTCGTGTAAGGTTAGAGTATTTAAAGCCTCACTAAGTTAGATGGTAGCTTTGATATCTTGGAAAGAGCACAGAGAAATTGCTACCTATGTGATCCTGGAACTTCAAGACTTGTCATGCACAAGCAGGCTAGAAAAATTAAATCACTTTACAGTGACCTACCTCAGATTTGTGTTATGACTTACTAGGTCAAAATAACACACGAAGGATATCAGATAAGCTAAAGTAGAGTGTGAAATAAATCCTATTGGTAATAGGTTTTATAGCCTATCACTGAACTCGTGGAACATATTACTAGAAGAAATTGTGTCCTCACCTGCAAATGATTAGACACTTATCAGAGCTTGCTGGGGACTTACATATATAATTAGCCTTCTGTTTCCAACAAACAAGTCTGAGTTATAGTGCTCTTTTTTGAAGAACTGTTATGTAACCTACTGAAGGAATGGATTTTGATGTGACTAAAGCTATTCCTTCTTTTTTCATTTAAGTACTTAATTTAATATAAAATACTCATAACACAAAAAACCACGAACATCATATATATGTTTTTTCAAAGCTTGTATTCAGAAGTTTTAGAATTTTACTTGACATAATACATTCATTTGGTTGAACTTGAGTCATTGCCAATTTGTTCGTAAAGCTGAAACTTTGCGGGTGCCTTGAGTTTGGCCTTACGCGCCTGATTTGTCTTCGTGTCCGTCGTTTTTTTTTTTACCTTTCTTCCTGCATTTCATGTCTTCTGTCGTTATAACCAATAGTATACACAAATCTAAAAGTTCGTTCTACATACAAATCAGATATGCATATCAAGAAGAGACTTCGCCGCTACATAAGCAACATTATAAGCTTTACTAATTCCCACACTCGAAACACGCTTCGTGATCGATCTGCTGATTTTTATGGTGAGATATTCTTAATAATGATGTTGATTCTTTACATAGATGTAGGAATTGTCATGTGTTTACTTGATCTAATTCGCTTTTCAAGTGCTTCAACTTTTTAGTTCTGGTGTACACTATACATGTACGTACTGTGTTCATCAATGGGTTTGCAGGTCAAGCTAAAGAAAATAACACAACCCAGCAATAATTTAGTTTTAAGGCACTGAGTGTCTTTTTGTAAAAGAGATTAATATTGTCAGATCCACTGTGAAAGACGTGGAACTGTATCCGTTTGGGAAGCTTACGGAAGGAATACGTCTGTTTTGTCTAGTTGCCTAAAAATTGGATCGACGGTATAACTGATCTTGAACCAAGGAGAATCGGGAGTTTAGGCATGGACGAAATGGGTGTTTCGTAGCATATATATGTATTCTGCAAGCAAGTGGCGGGACTATGCTTCATGGGCGATCCAATAATATATGAGATTAATAATATAATAATATATGAGACTAAGATGTTTGCATGAAATTTATTCTTCCATATAGCTATATAGAATTGCCGCTGTGTAGTTGGTGTCAGTTTGGGCATGAAAACTAGCTTTTAGCTGCAATTTTTTATCCAAATCCCTTACTCTGATAAGCTCACTTGTGAAATTTCAGACCCATACAAGGTCACTCTGGTTCTTTTCGAAAGTCGTCCATAAATCTTGGTCTCTCCAATATCGGGTCTATCGAATATCTTATTAAATGGGAACAAAAGACAACTTTTGCCTAGCTTTGGTACTTTACTGTTCCCATACGTCGCTGTTCGTAATCAGTCCATTCTGTAAATTGATTCATATCTAAACTGTTCTTGCTTCCCCGTTTTCGCAAACTTCGGTTAGAATGTGTAGGTCACGACAAAAAGGAATGTCTCTTATCTATCAAGCACATGTTTGTCTACCTGCTTCGGATTGGGCTCTCGGGCAATATTCCAGCCGTCACACATCGAATGATTTGTGTGGCGCATACGTATTTGGTGCTTTCTTGTACCAATGTTTGTGTTTAGGTAAATAAATAAGTGCTTGTCCACATGTTTGTGTAAGAATGATTCATCGGTCTTATTACCGTCTGATTACCACATTTGTAGCAGATACTCTTAATGGTGTTATCTATTTTAATCCGAATTTATTTACACACCTTTCTTCACCTTTTTGGGAATTAGCAAATGAAGTTACAGATGAATTGGTTGATCTCATGCGTAAAGTTTGGCTTCCGATTGTTGGTCCTGGTTATGAAATCATAGTAAGTATTTCCATAACGTATGTGCTTTTTTCAAGTCTATTTTGTTGATTGTTAAGTATTTCCAAGTTACATTTTAATGTCCGAGTCTGTAAGTTAAGTCGAAATGAAAAACACTTAGGTGGGTCTTATAGGATTCCAGACTAAGGAACAGTTAACGGTGACCCTGCGCTGAAATTTTTCTCAGATAACCGATTAATTCTTGGAAGTACAAGTTTTAAAGAAAAGGAGAGATATTATTAACCTAGCGACTTAAATATATATATTTATTTATTTGAACACATGAATATTGGTATAAGAGAGCCCCAATACATATGCGCCACACAAAACAATGAGAATTCGGAGAGAAATAGAAAAAAAACTAAGGAGCGCAAAAGAAAAAGAGAACAATAACGAAGAGATTGGTGTAAGGTAGTGTGGTAGTAACGAGGGAACGGAAAGGTACAATCAGAAGAAATCTTTCAGGTAAGGGAGACACAACCACTTTTTATAAAGAAAGTAAAAGAAGGTTACAGCAGGATCGCCACTGGCTTCTATTCTGAGCCATATCTGATAACGTCTCTAGCCACTGTGTAGAACCATCTCTCAGACCCCAACCAGGGAGTCGTGAAGGACCGACAGAAGCCAGTCCTTTGCAGCTTTCTTTCATACCACGACACCATGTCATGCACTGACCACCTCTCCGCTTCTTCCAACCAGTCCCAGAGTCTGCAAATAATGCACGGCGTGGAATTCTCTGGGACGACATTCGTAGAACATGTCCAAGCCACCGAAGTCGGTGTTTCAAGATGGTGACACCAATTGAATTATCATCTCTGTGCCCGAACACACGATGCCGAACCTCTACATTACTGACATATAAATACAATGATAAACACAAATAGGTTATATCCCTATCAGCTATCGTTTAAACAGATCAATAGAAGGCTGCCGCTCCTTCTGGAGCACATGTTTGGATTCTGACCATACCCTAGTGTGCGGACGCATTTCCAGGCGTTCTACTGAACGTAAAGTCATACCAGAAAGAAGACTCCCCACGTATTAACTCGAAGCTGGAAAGGTCAATAACACATTTTTGAAAGCGGTGGCTCGATGGTTGAGGCTTTCAACTCCTAGTCACTAGGTCCTAGGTTCGATCATCACCTAACATACCTCGGTTTGGGCGACCGAGTACTATCACCAACCCTCACATTTAGAGGGTGAATTAATTTAATTTCATTTCAAGGAAGAATTAACTAGACAATCAGTCGATCATAGATGTAATCTTATCTGAATGGTCTCATTTGCTGGTCGTCTCAATTTATGAAAATGTAGACGTAGACGTGTAGACTAAATATTCACTCTTCAGATTTTAAAATATGGACGTGCTTACCGTCGTCTAACTATAGTTGTATTTCTCGACTTCGAGGCAGCATTCGCTTCTGTTAACCTGAAGGTTCTGTGCTAATGTTTACCATTGGAAGACGTACCAAAGAAGTACATAAACATTGTACCAGTTTCCAGTACTATTGATCGAGTCAGAGGTCGTGGCTAACTGTTGTGTTTACGGAGTGCTTAACTAACTTATGCTTTGTACTAAAACATCAAATCTGACGGCTTATAGTAAGAACACAAAGACTGGTGGTATAGATCCTTTTTGACCCACAAATAAATAAATAAATAAATACCTGAAAACACTGCTTAGTATGCGATTTATTCACACTCAGATTCGCATCCATATTTCTATAATTGGAAGTGAGTAGTACTTGACATCAGTTCATCAATGATTTTCCATATGAATATTTGTAATGTGACAAAACTTCACACTGACTAAATTTTGCTATTTTGGTCCTATCATATCAAATTGTCAACCTCAAGTGGTGTATATCAGGAATGTCCGCTGTCCCCTTTTTTACTTAACTTCGTCACAGGTGTTTTACTAGAAGTAACACTTTCTTTTAAAGGGTTAGTTTCCCAGGAACTTCACTTATCGACTTCGAATACACGGATAACATAGTCTAGCACTAAAAGGGCTTGTATACTGTGCATCGGTTCACTTGATATTACTTTATGTATGTTAAATATGAGAGTAAAATATGTGCTTAGGCTACAGGCTTTTGATCAAACGTGCCTTTAAAGCATCACTCGCGTTTCATGAAACGACTGATTAAATAATGTTAAGGTTAGGGTTAAGGTACTATCAAAGGTAGAAAATCGAATAAGATGGTCGTGAATCTTCATCGATTTAAGTGATTGGGACATGTACTACGTATGTTTAGCCACTGCCTACCTCAACAGGTGATGTTTGGAAGTGTAGAAGCAGGTTTGAAGAAAGTTAGGGGAGTCCAAACCAAGTCATGGCATCAGTCCACGCAGTCGTTGACTGTCGACCTGTTTGTTTGTTTATTTAAACACTTAAACATTAGTACAAAACGACACCAAAATATGTATGCACCTCACAACAAATCATTAAATTTGCATGTGGATTCGGGTACTGCTCGGGTGTTCAAACCGAAACAGGTTGCTTTCTTGGGGGGCCACTCCCTGAGCCTTTGACCGAGAGGTCCAATTCACAAGTCATTGAGGCAGCTGTAAATAAATCACATAAAACATGGTGTGTTCTTAAGTCATTTTGTTTCGTTTTGGGGGTCAAGTAGATCACTTCACGTTTTGTTTCTCGTATTCAAGTTATCGTGTAGCTTCAGTCTTGGATTATTAGAAGTTAGCGAGTCCAATTGACCGTTCATTTAGCAAAACTTATCATTTCCATCTTAAGAAGTAGGTTGACTTGAAAAAATAGACACTGAAATAACATTAACCAAAAATTATTGAAATTACTTAATAGAAAATGTTCAAAGTGAAACGAATATCGAGAAAAAGAATTGGGGAAATTGTTACCACCACTTATTTACTTATTTGCGTCTGTTACTCCAGTTGAGGCATAAACCGCCAATCAGGAACTTCCAACCAACTCTGTCGTACACTCTTCTCTCTCCTTTTCTTTCCAATTGCCATTCATTCTCTTGATATCCTCTTCCAATTCCCTTCACAATGTGTTCCTTGGTCTTCCTTTTTGCATTCTCTCTTCAGGATTCCAAGCTAGTGCTTGCCTCGCGATGAAGTTTGATCATTTCCGCAATGTTTGTCTTATCCACCTCCAACGTCTTTTCCCAATTTTCTCTTCAGCTGGAAGTTGTTTTGTTCTCTCCCACAGTAGGTTTTTGCTGATGGTACCTGAACAACGGACATTGAGTATCTTACGTAAACAACTGTTTATAAATACTTGTACACTCTCGATGATGGTTGTAGTAGTTCTCCAAGTTGCAGCTCCGTGCGATAGAGCTGTCTTGACGTTTGTGTTAAAGATCCTGACTTTGGTGTTGGCTGACTTGTTTTGAGTTCCATATATTCATCAGTTGTAGGAATGCGACCCTTGCTTTGCTAATCCTCGCCTTTACGTCCCTTGTGTGTTGAGACCTACTGCTGCAGAGACTGGTGCTGCACTGGCTGTCTTTACCTGCATTGGTAGGTGTTTATGGGATAGAAGAACTAGGTCATCTGCGAGATTCAGGATCCAAAATATCCGTGCTCTGCTTGATATATAGAGGTCTTCATAATCCTGTCGGCCACCAGAAAGGCGACAGTATATAGCTTTGTCTGATACTAGTCTTCACTTGGATTACGTACGTGAGCTGACCTCCATGCACGACTTGTAGTGTAGTCTGTTGTAAGAATTCTGTACGAAATTGACAATATTCTGATGTACACCATAGTGTCGAAGAAGCTTCCACAAGATTCTCCTATCCACACTGTCAAATGCTTTACCATAGTTAAGAAGATTGATGTATGGTAACCAGTTCTATTCACTTGATTGTTCAACAATGATCAATAGTGTCGCGATGTGGTCTGTAAACTATCGATCCTTACGGAATCCGGCCTGTTGTTCTGGAAGTTGAGCGTCCACTGAATCTTTCATCTGGTTCAACAACACCGTTGAAAACTTTTCCTAATACTGATAGTAGTGTGGTACCTCTGTAGTTCTCACACTTACTGAGTCACCTTTCTTTGCTACTTTGATGAGGTATCCCACTTTCCAGTCTATCGGCACTTGTTCATCCTCCTTAATCCTCTTGAATAGGATGTGTAACAGGTTTGCAGTTACTTCTATGTCTGACGTCAGTGCTTCAGCTTGTATGTTGTCTGATGCTGCTGGTTTTCCACTGTTGATTTGTCTGGTGGCTATGCTGATTTTTCCTATTGTTTGTGGGTTGACATCTATAGAGAGGTTTGTGTATGCTGCTTCGATGTCTAGTGGTTTCAGTGAGTCTGGTCTATTTAAGAGTTCTTCAAAGTGTTTTACCCACCTGATCCGCTGTCCTCGATCGTCAGTGATTGGTTCCCTATCTTTGATAATGCTCCTGCACTCTCTCATTTGCTTCTGTGTTTGGTTTGTGCCTCGTCTTTCTTTGCTCTTGTTTGGTTGTGATTGATTGCTGTTTTCTTGTTCGTAATTTCTTGAATTTTGCCACGGGGTATCAACAGAGATCCATCTTTCATGAAAAGCAAACCGCCAAAGTTTTTGGAAAATAATCCTTAATAAAATTATCTGTTAAGGTTATTTCGGCCACGAATGTGGTTAGACTGTTACAAATTTCTTATGAATACAAAGACATGGATCGTTTGCTTGAATCCTTATGGTTCCTATGTGTAAGGAACAAGATCAAACGCTATATGAAGAACTAGTAGGTATAGGATAAATTAATGTCAATGATTTGTTCTTATCTACTTTCATCGATATTAGGTTTTACATATTCATAAATCTCGCGGAACATCAAATTTGGGCATAAGCATTGAAGGTGTGACCTATGTGGCAGAACCAGATTTCGATCATGAAAATTTATCATCTACAACGGTTACAACTAATAGTCAGATTGAAGATAAATCTAATTCAAGTAGTAAACTGTTACCGAATGGTATGGCAAAATCTGCTCATCCAAATGATATCAAGTATAGTGATATGCCATCACGCCATTTCGTCCAATATATTGTACCTGATGGTCTGGTCGGTAGTTTGGGTGTTGTGCAAAAGGGTGATGAGTTACTTCAGGTAAGAACATACCTATTTTCGAGGGAAAATTCACGGTTGGCTTTTGAGTACCGGGTTTAAGAATTACTGTGTAGTGTTATAGCCTAAAACCGCCAATCAGAAGCAGCGAATTATCGATCGAACCAAGGAAGTGTAAACACGTGCGAACAGCCTAGAGTTCTGATTGGCCCTGCTTTCTGCCTAGCCCAGCCAACTAAATCCAGAACACCAATCCGAGCCTCTGCGATATTAATTATGTATTTCAAACATACTCTGTTTATATACCAATCAAGCAGACCACATTGTACCATAAAATAGAAAATAACATTTGTACAAGATTTGGCCAAATGTGTCTGTGAATGTGGGAGGCAGTAACTAATAGACAGGGAATAATTCAAGAATGGAAAATCGCATAATAACAGTTCATAGGTTAAAATAAAACTTATGATAAGAGAGACAGGAATATGAATAGTTTAGTTAATTAACCATTATACGATAAAAATATACGTATAGTATTGGTCCACAAATACATCCCAAAAAATTACCACTCATTATTCTTATCGGGACGCAATAGTGGTCAGTGATGTCCTGTCATTGACTTGTAGAAGGCCTGAAAAATCATGTAGTTTAATCTTGTTACCCATAATTAGTCTTGTGTTCTTTAGCTTCTGGAACTCACATTTCACCCTATTTAGAATTTGTGAGCTTGATGTACGTATTCCTTATTGTACGCTTAGTGTCTATTCTCATCTGTACGTTAAAAATCATACACCGTATCTACGCAATTAAGACAAGAGTTTAACTTCATTTCACGAGTTCATTCTTAATATATCGACCAAATTTGTTAGCTTGCAAAACATTTTTTATTTTGTATTTGTGTTACATGATTCATTTATCAGTGACTATCGGTTCTAAGTCATTTAGTTTATCAGTATAACGGTTTGCGGTGATCGCAGTATTTTCCCAGTTGAAGTCACGAGTCGATCTAAGCTAGACCACCACTGAAAACCTAAAAGCACTAGCATAGGACTCCTCAGCAGTGCTCGTCCACGATCTTGCATGCCGGACCCAGGGCCTTCGATCTCTTGCTCAAACAGTTAACTTCTAGACCACTGTACCAGCATCTTACAGTGTTAATGTCCAACATTAGTCAATCCATGATCTTGCGCAACCTTTCATCCATTGTCTGAGGTGGATATCTGTCTCGCATCTGACACGGATTGGACTTCAGTGGTCACGACTTTTCACCAAAACTCCATGTAGTTTATTCATTTATTTTGTGAATTAATTCGAAGATCGTGCGACCTTGGTAACATCTTTGATCGTAATGTTTAGCAAATGCAGGCTGATGAAACGGTATCTGATAATGAATGATAATTTACAGTTTTAACATGACAACATTTATGATTTTTATGGTCTTATAGTTCTTATTAATGGGGTTTTGATTTTTTAAATGGGTTACCTAATCTAATCGAATATTCCTTTGATCTTTATGTCTGTGTTTTACTTCATCGTCTTGAGATATTTTCATTACTGGTATTGATGGTGCTTAATGTTTCTGATTTTCGTTTACTTTTCAGGCTAATGGTCATCGTATACATGGTACGACGCATACTAGTACTCTTCGTTATTTGCGCAATTTACCATCACGCATTGAATTAGTATTTGCTCGTAAAAAATCTACATATGAGAATGGAGGTGATGACGTGTTTAGTATTACAGGCGGTAAGGATCGGTTGATTGATGTCGCAGGGGAATCACTACTTGAAGTAGCTGCTAGTGAAATTGGTTCTGTAGATACTGGTTCATCTATGAGAATAGTGAATGCTTACGATAATGTTGATCGGTCAATTTATTCTAGTCCAGTATCGCCGGCTACGGCCCATAAACGTGTCACCGAATGGATTCGAAAATCTCAAGGAGATTTAAGTGCGACTATTGACTATTCGTCTTCACCTGAATCTTCTGTAACTAAACAAACTAATAATAAATCAGAAAGATTCAATTATTGTGATCTAAAAGTAAGTACTTATTTGCAGTACATTTACTGAAATAATATTTGATATTCTAAAGACCGAATTGTCATTAGAAGAAAATATGCATCTCGTCATAGCTGTATATGTTTGATAGCTGTTATGTCTATCTAGTTAAACTTTAGGATCAACTATTTTCTAACTCCAATTATTTCAACATATTTTACATTTGTTAGATTTGTTTTAATTAACTTTCCATTAATGCTATCCATATAGTGTATTTCCACACTTTTCCAAATACCTGTGAATCTCATTTTTTAACGATTTCAAACAGAATTATAACATCAGTTACCATATATTCCCTCTTTTCTGTTTTTCGTAGAAACAAGAGATGATTACATTTGAATCGATGCATCATATATATATATATATATATATATATATATATATATATATATATATATATAAACTTCAACCAAACATATTGCATCGAATGAAGCGAGTGTTATCGTTATTACTCCTATCCACATAAAATAGATGGAACATAGACAGCAGTGGAATTCAGGACGTGAGTTTCACCCTATTTGGGACTCGGCAACTGGATGTTTCTACATCCCAGTGTTTATTTTCAATCTGGGATTCAAATCCAGTACCTTCTCGCTCCAAACAACAACGCGCTATCCACTTAGTTACTGACTTCCAATAACCACTGATTTGTGCAATGGGGATGGATTTTAATCCAATTTATAATAGTTATGATTATCTCGTTTTTGATACTTTGACTGAAATTCTCTTATTCCCAGTTGACTATGTCCATCATATGTGGATCGCGTTTACATAGACTGGCCAAATTTCAGTCAAAGTATCAAAAACGAGATAATCATAACTATTATAAATTGGATTAAAATCCATCCCCATTGCACAAATCAGTGGTTATTGGAAGTCAGTAACTAAGTGGATAGCGCGTTGTTGTTTGGAGCGAGAAGGTACTGGATTTGAATCCCAGATTGAAAATAAACACTGGGATGTAGAAACATCCCGTTGCCGAGTCCCAAATAGGATGAAACTCACGTCCTGAATTCCACTGCTATCCATGTTCCATCTCTTCTGTGTAAACTTGTGTCATAATGAGTACATCGAGGTAATTCACACATATACCAACTAATACTGATCAAATTTTAGTCAACATATTAACAATGGGATAATCCAAACTATTAAGAATTATATTATTATTATTATTATTATTATTATTATTATTATTATTATTAAATGACTCCTTGGTCAATATTTATCGAAATAAATTCTTTCATCTAGATAGTTTGGTAGGGATCGGATCACTTATGGATAATTTTCATTGGTGTGATTAAATATTAGTTGTGCATAAAATGAGTATTTTGGAAACTAGTCATCTAATGTTCTGTTAGGAAGAGGTGACTTGTGGAGTCACCCAAATTGTGAATAAGTCAGCTACCTACTGATGACTTTGGATGACTATTAGACCATACTGTGAATTGATTGAAGTTAGGATGGTTCGTGACTTACTAGTTATATCATTTCGTTTTCTTTATTGGAGTGGTTGCTTCAAAGTCCAAAGTCGACTACATACACCTGTACTTATTAATTGGGGTAAGTTAAAATCGTTGCAGGGAATGAAAGTTACGGGTTCAGTGTTATGCTGCGCGACTGTTGGTTAACTGGTGAAGAACTCACTAATAGGACAGTAGCTGTTCTACTCTCTTTATTTTTCCAGCTAATGTTAATTTATGATTACAATTGCTTTTAATTGTTTTTTTACCCTCAAGATTGTATTAAACTATGAAGTCCGTAGTGATTGCTCAGTGGTTAAAGCACTCTGCTTGAAACCAATGAATCACAGGTTTTTTCTTCACTTTGAGCAATCAGCTAGTATCCTCAGCTCTCACACAAAAATATGTGAAGCCAACTAAATAGATCTATACTAAGTAAATGTTTTGCTACTTCAAAGATTAAATGTTTATACTAATTAACTTGATTAAATTTAAAATGTACGAATTAAATACAGTTAGAGTGTAGCATAGGGAAAAGCGTAGAGCAACCGCGGCAAATTTCCTGCCAATTCGTAGCCTGTCAGAGAACAGCTTTAGTAAGTGGATAGTTTATAGTAAAGAAAGCAATAATGTGAAATGTAAACAGACTTTATCTGACCATTAAATCTAGTAGTCTTCTATTGGTTACTCTGCGATGTATAAATTCGTCCATGTGAATATAGATTACTTGTCTTCTCGAATTCTCCCGACTGTTGCTGCTACGTTGACGCGGTGATCGGGGTTGCCTATAGTCATGACACAACCGTCATTCATTTGACCTCACCATGCCAAAATAAAGAACCGACTCGATTTACGCTTCGTGTATCTGGAAGCCCTGATTCTGCTTCCCGTGGCCTCGCCGGCGTAGGTATAGCATTGAGTCCTAGGGCAGAACTAGCTCTCTTAGAGTGGATCCCAGTAGACAGTCGTTTGTGCGCTGTCCGACTGAACGGAACAGTAAGAATCCGGAAAGATAGGGACACTCGTCGTTGCCTCTTCGTCGTCTCTGCCTATTCTCCCACTGACTGCAGCTCAGATGATGTAAAAGATGAGTTTTACAGAAAGCTTTCGGACCTTCTCCGAAAAGCTAGGCGCTCGGATGTAGTAATAGTGGCCGGTGACTTTAATGCTCAAGTAGGTAAACTAAGCGATAGGAAAGACACCTAGGTGGATCTTATGGTGTCGTGGCTCAAAGAACAGATAATGGCGACCGTCTGTTGCAGCTATGCTCAGATAACCGCCTGTTCCTTGCAAATACTAACTTTAAGCATAAGGAAAAACATCTTTTAACATGGCGACCCCCTAATTCGTCCCAACGTTGGACCCAAATAGATCACATCGCTATCAGCCACCGATGGAGGGGCTCGATAGAAGACTGTCGCTCATTCTGGAGCACATGCCTAGATTCAGATCATGCTCTAGTGCGAGCGCGTATTTGCTTGCGTCTTACTGGACGTAGGAAAGACGCTGCAAGGAAACCTCTTAGGGCCTACTTAATGATAGTCAAGCTAAGAGTATATTTCAGGAACAACTAGGAAAACAGTTAGGCAGCCATGTATGTGATGCCCACCCCGATGCAGCATGGAATGATATCCGAAAAGCTGTGGAAACAGCAGTGATATCTGCTAGTAAGGTAAACCAGAAGGTTAGGGAGCAACACTGGATCTCAGCAGCATCTATCGCACTGATAGATGCTCGGAAACTCATTCCACCTGGCTCTGAACATAATGAAGAGCGGAGTCAGCTTAAGCGCAAGCTGACAAGAAGTCTACGCAATGATCGCGAACAGTGGTGGGTAGCGAAAGCAAGAGAGATGGAAAAGGCAGCGGCAATAGGTAATAGCAGACAATTGTTCAGACTCGTTAAGGAAACCGGAATTAGGAACCCGACCGTTAGCGAAACAATCTCAGAGAAAGATGGACATATTATTCATTCTCAATCCAGGAGATTGGATCGATGGGCAGAACACTTTAGGGATCAGTTCAACTGGCCTTCAGCCACACTTCGGTTTCCCACGATCTCTAGTCAACCTGAATGGCAAGTTAATGTAGGTCCTCCGTCCCTTTACGAAGTTGAAAAAGCCATAGGAAATCTGAAACGAGGGAGAGCAGCAGGCCCTGACAGGTTTACTCCTGAGATTTTTAAGGATGGTGGTCCAGTATTAGCAATGAGATTAACTGAGGTCTTAGGTAGAATTTGGGAACTGGACGTAATCCCATCTGACTGGTCTCAATCACTGATTGTGCCAGTCTATAAGAAAGGACAAAAGTCCTCTTGTGACAATCACAGAGGAATCAGTTTGACTAATATAGTGTCTAAAATATTAGCTTCAATAATACTTCGACGCCTAACTAAAGCTCGTGAAGAGCAGACTAGAGAAAACCAGGCTGGTTTTCGACCTGGACGTGGTTGTATAGATCAGATATTCACACTACGTCAGGTTCTAGAACACAGACACACATTCAGACGCCCCACAATGGTAGTATTTCTCGACCTTAAGGCGGCATTCGACTCTGTTGATCGTGAGGTTCTATGGCAGTGTTTGTCACTGAAAGGAGTACCAAAGAAGTACATTAACCTTATAAAGGCTCTCTACTCGAACACAACTGGTCGAGTGAGAGCTTATGGCGAACTGTCATCAGAATTGATTACCTCAAGTGGTGTTCGTCAGGGCTGTCCACTCTCCCCATTCTTGTTCAACTTTGTCGTCGACGTACTTTTAGAGATAACACTCTCCTCATCTAAATTTCCAGGGGTTGAACTTCTACCGGGAGGTTCACTTGTTGACTTAGAATATGCTGATGACATAGTTTTATTTGGTGAAGTCTTCTGACCACTCTAAGCAACAATGCAAGCATGTTCGGGATGCGATTCTCTCCCTCGAAATGCAAAATGTTGCTTCAGGATTGGGTTACATCGACACCCGAACTAGTGATAGGGAGTGAAGTAGTTGAGTGTGTCGACCGCTTCACTTATCTTGGAAGTCTCATCAGCCCTTGTGGTTGGTGTGTGACGAAATCTCAGCACGGATACAGAAGGCTCGACTAGCTTTTGCCAACTTGCGTCATTTATGGCGTAGGCGAGATATCCGTCTATCAACCAAAGGACGTGTTTACTGCGCAGCAGTTCGTTCCGTCCTACTTTATGGCAGTGAAACATGGCCGGTAAGAGTAGAGGATATTCGTAGGTTACTAGTATTTGATCATAGGTGTCTTCGAAACATTGCTCGTATATCATGGGACCATCGAGTAAGTAACACAGTTGTTAGGAAACGGGTACTAGGTAAGGATGGCAAATCAATTGATGAAGTAGTGAAACTTCATCAGTTGAGATGGCTGGGACACGTGTTACGTATGCCCAACGACCGACTGCCTCGACGTGCTATGTTCAGTGGTATAGGAGTAGGTTGGAAGAAAGCTAGGGGCGGCGGACCAAAACATGGCACAAGTCCATGAAGTCACTGACAAGTGGACTGAGTCATGT